TTTTGGCTTTAGGTTGTCAATGTTTTGTTATACTGAGAGCAAGTATATATTAAAACAAAAGGAACACTGTTATTTTGATAACAGGAGATGAGGGAAATTTTTACAGTTTGCCTGTTTTTAGGCTTTTATTAAAATTTGAGGTTTGAATTTAGCTCAAATATGTTTGTATTATTATTTAAAATTTTTTTTGAGAGCTTAATTAATTTTAACAAGAAATTTAACCTTTTACAGGTCCACTAAGTAAATCTAAAAACTTTTATTCAACCAATAAGCATTTTGTATAGCTTGTTAGCAAATTCAAAATAACTCAGCAGTTTTTTCCTTAGACAATTTAGACTTTAAAATTCAGAAAAAACATAGGGAAATAAAACTTTTTTCCTAGAATGAACCAAAACAGTTTAGTCCCCCACAGTAGGAAGGCAGTAGAGACTTGCCAGTGATCCCAACACTGGAGAAAAAGTCCAGGCAGCTGCTTGTTGAGACCAGGGGCAGCCCCCACCCATCCGTTGCAGTGGGTTTATAATATTATTATAAAAACCTGTAGTTATATTATATAGTTATATTTAACCATTTTTTATTACCTTAGCAATAGTAAATGAACTTTAAATACTATTATTTAGAAATATTTTATTTATTTATTTTAAAAGAATAAATGGCCTAACCACATACTTAGAATCAGAAAACAAAGTTAAAGGCTGAGCAAAATGCTCAAGTGTCATAATGACTGTAATTATTTCAGCCTGCTGAGCAGAGACATTTTTAGAGACTTTTTGTAAAGGTTCATTTCCAAGACTATAAACTGCAAAGACTCCAGACGGAGAGCCATCAGTGAAAATGACCTTTGTATTGGGTACAGGTTCAGAATTAATAATTTTTGGAAAAATAAGTTTAGTTTTTTCTGCAAATTTCAATAATGGATGTTGAGGCAAATGAAATTTAATTTGTCCTGTAAAATTTTGCACTGCAACTCCCCAACCATTATCATTTTGAAGTAAAAATTCAAATTGAACTCTATTATAAGGAATTACAATATTAGCGGGATCATGTCCAAATAGTTCACAAGATCTGGTGATGCCTTTCATGATTAAAAATGCACACATACATGGATAAGCTGTCACCACACGTGTTTGTGCATGGGAGAGATGCAACCATTCCAAAATGCCCTTCTGCCATAAGCAGGCTGTAGGTGTATAGGCAGTTTGCATAATTAATAAATCCCATGTCTTAGAGTAATTAACTTGAATAACTTTAGCCTCTGAGATTTTTTGCTCAACCAATCGAAGACTTTGTAATGCTTCTTGAGTCAAAATACAGGGAGATTTAGGATTTGAATCTCCTTGCAAAATTGCAAAAAGTGGATGTAAATCTCCAGTAGTAATTTTTAAATAAGGTCTTATCCAATTGATATTTCCCAATAATTTCTGAAAATCATTTAAAGTTTGCAATTTGTCAACACAAATTTGTAAATTTTGAGACATAATACAATCATTGTAAATAACTTTTCCTAAATAATTTAATGGTCGGTCCTTCTGGATTTTATCCGGTGCTACAACCAGACCATAAGTCGTCAATTGTTCTATTAAATGAATTAAAATTGAATCTGCAACATCTTTTGAAGGATGACTTAAGAGAATATCATCCATATAGTGAATAATATATGCTTCTGGAAACTTTAGTCTAGTAACTTGTAATGCCTGGTCAACAAATTTTTGACATAAAGTAGAAGAATTTTTCATACCTTGTGGCAAGACTTTCCACTGATATCGTTGCCATGGCTTTTGAAAGTTGCTAGATGGGATGCTAACAGCGAATTTTTTGCAATCCTCTGGATGCAATTTAATTGTAAAGAAACAATCTTGTAAATCAATAATAATAACATAATTATCTTTTGGAACCGCTACAGGAGAGGGTAACCCTGGTTGTAGGGCACCCATATCCTGCATGGTAGCGTTAACTGCTCTCAAATCCTGCAGAAGACGCCATTTACCAGATTTTTTCTTTATACAAAAAACAGGAGTGTTCCAAGGACTTGTAGATGGCTCTAAATGATCTTTAGCCAATTGTTCTTGCACTATTGTTTGAATAGCCTGGATCTTTTCTGTTGTGAGGGGCCATTGATCGATCCAGACAGGATTTTCATCTTTCCAATTAATTTTATCAGCATATTTCTGAGTTTCAATGGCCCCTACAAAAAAACCTGTTCATCAATTACATCTGGAGTGACTAAAGACAATTGCAAAGATTCCATATCACGTCCCCATAGGGAAAAAGGCAAGGCAGGGATCACATAAGGTTGAAACAAACCTTTTTGTGGTCCTAATTGCCAAGACAACACTTGTGAACTTTGAGCTACATTATTGGCCATGCCTAATCCAATCAATGTAGAGGAGGAATTTAAAACTGGCCATGCCGCAGGCCAATCTTTTCCTGCAATACATGACCTGTCAGCTCCTGTATCTAGCAACCCCATAATTGGGTGTCCATTAACAATTTTTTCAATGGCCGTTCTTTCGTTATGCTCTGGGTCCATGCAATTACATCCGTGGATCCAAAGCCTTCATTTCCTCTTTTATCTTTTAAAATCGGATTAGGTAATTTAACATAAGACAGCACAAGAATTTGAGCGATACGCTGATCTTTATGAATTTGTATTGTTTCTTTCAAAGGTCGAATCATAACTTTAACCTTCCCTTCAAAACTTGAGTCAATTATTCCAGGTAGAACTTCAAAATTCTTTTTATAATTTGAACTACGGCCAATTATAAGTCCGACAGTTCCTTGTGGAAGCGGTCCCTTTAAGTAAGGGTCAACTAAATGAACTCCATCCGTGGCCTACATGATAACATCAGCCATGGCTGCAAGATCTAATCCTGCACTTCCAGGAGTGGCTCTTGGCAAATCATGTACGGCTACATTCGTAGCAGGCGCAGGTGTTTCTTCAGAGCTTATTTGCGCCGGAGTATACCCTCCTTCATTTATGGGGCTGAGGGCTCGCCCCTCTGAGAGTTTTTTTTTTTTGGATTCTCTTCTATTTGTTTTAATTTATGTCCATCCTTATGCCACTTACTGTTCCTGGAGGAGGGGCGTGCAGCCTCTTTGGTTTAGAGCATTTACATTGTTTAATTCACTGAGGGACATGTTACTTATGGTCATCCCTCGACTCTTTAACATGTGACTTAAAACTGAAAGGAAAAGTCCTCTATCTCTAGAGTAAGAATGTCCCATATTTATAGATTACTCGTCCTCTTTAACTGGTTAGCCTTTACCAGCGGGCCGGCGGCGCCCCGACGAGATTCCCTATCCTTCGACAAAAATTTTTTAGAAAAAAAAAAAGTGGAGAGATAGCTTACCTCAAGCTCGTTCTTCCAAACACGTCTTCTTCTTAAGGAAATGCCTAGAGAGTTGTTCGCCTAGAAAGCGAAACGAAAAACACTCAGCGATGCTCGCCTGACCGTACTCCTCGCGGAGTATTAGAAAGCCTTGGTATAGGGGTGACCGTACAAGCCCCGGTCTTGGACTCCACAAGGAGACCCCACTAAACCTTACGGCTTTCGCGGAACTGCAGGTACGAGCCCACACAGGCTCCGCGGCTCAAAAGAGCCTTGGAACTCAAACACAGTTACTCACACAAACATACACACAGTCTCACAAAGCAGAGAAAGTCGATTCTTCCAGCTTCACTGAGCCCCACTGTTTGGGACTCGAGCCCCACGTTGGGCGCCACCTGCCGCGGACCAGCCCAGCGGTGGCGGGAGATTGAGACAATCTCAGGGGTTGAGTGAGAACGAGCAGAAGGTGGTCAAAGGAATTAGGGCGAGGGACGAAAGAAATGACACACAGACACACTCAAGGGAGAGTGAAAATCTGAGTGTGCTTTATTGGAATCAGCCTTCTCTTTTTATACATTTCCAAAGTCATTACCTCAATATGTTTTTCACGGTATGTGGTTAATCATACGTCAGATTTATCGTAAATGCAGTGGAACATGAATAACATAACATATTGTCTATTATTTATCAAGGAATCAAGAACTCATCGTAACACCCCCAGTGGAGGCTTTCTTTAACATTATGATTTCTTACTATGATTATACATTTTTGTCATATCTTTAACATCATATTTTTATTCTTTCTAGTACTATTTATTATTCCTATAGTTCTACTTGGTTACACATTTGCTAGAAGTCATAGAGCCAGTTTCTCTCACCATAATTGAATTTCTTCAGTACAAGACCTAGACTATTAATGATTAACAACATGCCTTGGTTGTGTCTCAACATTTCCCAGACTTGTTTTCTATCAGTTATTTTCCATAGTTAAAAGGTGGGAACCATTAAAATCCCCTTGGGGACTGCGCCTGTCTTAGGTCGTCAGAAATCTTTTCTGATCTTACCCGTCATTGACTGTCCAGTCCAGCACACAGGGGAAGAGGGACTTATGTACTTTCATAGTACAGCTACTCTTATATTAACGATAAATTGTGGCAATGGTAACTTTGCTCTCTGGGGGAGCAGGAGCCCCCACAGGCCTCCTGCATGGACCTTTCAAGAGATGTAAAAAAACCCCAAACCCTAAGGTCAGTTTTGCTCAGAAACCTCCCCCAGGGATGTCTAATATAGTGAAATTCAAGTTGCCCTTCTGAGAGAGAAACCAAGTCCATCAATGAAGGTTTTCTCTCAGCTAGTTCAGTCAACCTACCTGGGCCCAGTGCAGGCCTGCATGTCTCCCCATTCACCACTTGGGTTTGTGTCTGGTTCAAAGAGAAATTCCATTTATCTTGACGAGATCTTTTTGGGTCTCTTCTTGGGTCTTCGGTTATCATTATTGTATACTTGGAGCCTGGGCTCACTATGCGATTTGACTGTGAATCTGTTTTAGACTACTTTTCAGTGATATCCCCTACCCCTCATGCATTTCTAACCATACACCTGCTCCTTGGGCCCACAAATACCTTCCCAGTGTTGTTGTGGATGCCATAGCTTTCTTTCTCTTGTTCTCCAGATCATCTCTCCAACTTGGCTCAGATGCCAGCTTTGATTTCTTCAGTCAGAAGGCACCTATCCTTCCTGCTACGGTAGGTGTCACTGCTTGTGTAGTCAGGGGTCTGACACAGAGTTCTGGATGTCTGGCCTTAGCCTAATTGGGACTCATCTTTCTAATTGTTCTAAGACCAGAATGATGTCTTAGAGGCCCTTAGGGGCCCTGCCCCCCACATGAGAGCATTATCATTTGGGTAAAGGTAACTTGGGGCATATGAAGGTGGCCTTTGGATTCCTACTACTTGAGGGCAATAATAACAGCATTCCTCCTGCGCAGACCCTCTGCTAAGGAATTATTAAGCTCTGAAAAACTATAAAATGAGTTCATCTTTTTGTGTACAGACAAGGAAATTGAGGCTGAGAGAGGTGAAGTGACTTGCTCAAGGTAACACCCCCAAAGCAACAGTAACCATTGTTGTTGCCATATTCACCCTTCTCCTTCCCCAGTATTCTGCATCCAGAGAACTTCTGATATTAAGGACAGAAAAATAACATGTGCTCCTCCTGGTGGTGGAGTGCAGCAATGCACAGATGTGAGGGCCCAAGATTGCTTGTAACAAGCAAGTCACAGGACACTCAGCTGATCAGAGCGCAAGTTTGACACTTCCCTTCATAATGCTTTTAATAGATAAATTTTATTGCATTTTTGAAATATCACAATTTGATATTGAGAATTATTAGACATCTTGTTTCCATCACTGAACAACAAATAGATGTTATTCATTAGTCTGCTAATCACTTTCTTGTTCAGAGAGGCAGGTAATATAAAAAGTTTTCTGATATCTTTGAGTTTAACTCTTGTGACCGGCTGTATTGAAGCAGTTGGATTTGATGCCAATAACTTTATGAGCTTGAAATATTGAACAAACAATACCTACACTCATTTTAACCCTACAGGTAGATTTTTTTTATTCAAGAAATTCAAATGTCAACAAGAGACCCACTCTCCTAAATAATGACACAGATGGGGAAGTGAGCATACACATCCTCATCTTGCTATGGAAAATCAGTGGAACACCCTTGATCATATGCCGTATTTGGCAACAGATTGCTGTGGCCAGTTCCTTTTCTTTCTTTTTTAATGTTACTTATATTTTTTCAGGGTTCATGTTGCAATCATGAAACCAAGTGTGGGTTTTGATTCCAAATTCACATATTTAGGGAGATAAAAGCAGACTATGATACATGTATATGGATGAAAAGTAAAGGCTCATGGTTAATCACATTGTAGTTTTTCTATGATAGTCAGAAGCCTCAGTCTTTTAAGTCCTTCTGGATGTCCCACAGGGTATCTGCACTTCTCTTGATTTGAGCAACCTCATTATCTTTCAGCTTCTAATTGCTAATACTGGTTAATTCACAAGCATTCTGGGTACCTGGGAAGCTCAGGAAGATTTCATTCTCAGTGCTATATACATCCCTTTCTCCATTGTTGACATTGAATGAATCCTGGACAGATTTTTGAACATGGATTCAGTGCAATCAACTACACATAATCCAGTAGCCCAGTTGGTGTATCCTTTCAGCTAGATGAGTTATTGGCATTTGCAATCACCATGTTATCCAGTTCCTTCCAGTTTTTACTATCATTGTTTGTTCCCATTTGGGATTCAGTCCCTGGAGAGAAACATCTGCCCCATTTACTCCACTCCACACAGCCACACTTGAGTCACCATGGCAGCTCCTGGGATGAGTGTCAAGTTTTTCAGCCATAAAATAGCAAAAACCTAGCAGAGTCCAGATTAAACCCACTTGTAATCACACGGTACTTGGGTACTTGTCAATTCATTCATTCAATGTTAGTTTCTAGGTAACATATGTGAGAATATCCACTGGGATGGAAACCACATTTATGATGCAATCAGGTCTGTACTTGATAATCTGAGGGACAATGAATTTGAAGACATGGACATTCTTCTGCCCCAGATTGAGACAATTTTCTCTCTCTTGCTGGCAGACTCCCATCAGTCCTACCACCACAGTCTTAGAATTGGCAATCAGAAAGTAATCTTTATCTACTAGTTTTACATGTCTGAAAAAATAAGCTCCCATGCTGGAGACCCATCATTCTCTTTTGAGTTTATCTTCTTTTTTTTTTTAAATTTTTTTTTTTTTATAGAGGCATGTTTATTTATTTATTTGTTTGTTTGTTTGTTTGTTTTGTTCATACATGCACTGGGTATAGTCAGAAGCGCGGGAGGGTGAGAGAATTCACCAGAGCCAGAGCAGGGAGCAGAGCAGGCAGAAGGACCGAAGTACACTGCTGAGGGGAGCAGCGGGCGGCAGGAGAGGTCCGCGCGCCATGTGGGACCCTCCTCTGTTGGCCGGGGAGCGGCCGGGGATCGAACCGGCGTCGCAGAGGCTGCGGGCAGCTTCGCAACCCAGCGCTCAACCGCTGCGCCACCGGGGAGGCCCTTGAGTTTATCTTCTAAAAATATCCACAAGGGGCTCCCTGGTGGTGCAAGGGGTTAATCATCGCACTATGGGGCAGTCTGCAGCTTCTGCAGCGTGGGTTCCATCACCAGCCGGACAGGGAGCAACCCACATGGGGCAGCAGACCTCTTCTGTCTCACCCACTGGTCCCCTCAGCAGTGTGTTTCAGTCAGTCTGCCTGTTCTGTTCCCCACTCTGTCTCTGGTGAGTCCTCTTAACCCTCCCCACATCTGGCCTGTACCCCAGTTCTTGTATGCACAAATAAATAAATCTTTAAAAAAAAAATCAAAGCTGCCATTGTTAACCTCCCCATGGGTCTCTCACCCACATCTGTTTTGACCAGGCCAAGGCCAAGAAGCAAGCAATTTCTTCACATGTCTCTCCTCCATGTGCCTCCTTTAGGTCTCCTGGCTCTCCATCCCACCTTCCTTCTCCAGTGTCCCCTCCAGCTTCTTCTCTTCCCTGCTCAGTTCCACCCTCCTTTGGGAGGGGCCAGGGACACTGGCATCTCTCCTTTCCCTGGGACCATCCTGTTACAGGATTGGAAGAAATCTTAAAAGAAATTTCATAAAGCTCAGGATGTTAATTTAGAATTTTATCCAAAACCAAATGATGCTGTAACCTAAAGTATATCCTTTATCTTTCAGTAGTAGCCATTTCCAGCAGTTCATTACTGCTGGAAATTATTTACTACATTCATTACTACAAGTAAATTATTTTTTAATGACATAAATGGATTTCATTCTATTACATTTCCTATTGTGGTCCTCATTTGCTTGGTAAAATAAGTTTTAAAATATTCTGTTACCTATATAAGGTATATGGTGGTAACCTTTCAAACTTACAAATTTTTTTTGATTTTTAAATTTTACATCATTTTTCATTTGTGCACAATGTATGCATTTTCGTATTGTTTATAGTCCCCATACAATTCCCACCACCCTTGTTTTGAACCTATTCTCATACCTATCCCCTCCGAGTGTGTCTCTGGTTTATAGCTGCCCGTTGATTCTGATTTTTACTTTATTTTAATTAGTCTTTTTCCTGGTCCCTTATTTAGGTTTTATAAATTCCTGCTATGAGTGAGACCATCCAGTGTTTTTCTTTTTCTTTCTGGCTTCTTTCACTGAGCATGATCCCTTCCAGTTCTACCCATGTTGCTGCAAATTGCATGAGTTTATCTTTTTTGATTGCTGAGTAATATTCCATTGTGTTTATGTACCACATCTTCTTTTTTTTTTTTTTTTTTTTTTAATTTTCTAGAGGCATGTCTTATTTATCTATTTGTTTTGTTTGTTTGTTTGTTTTGGTTTATACATGCACTGGGTACAGTCAGAAGCCGGGAGGGCGAGAGAATTCACCAGAGCCAGAGCCGGGAGTAGAGCAGGCAGAAGGATCGAAGTACACTGCTGAGGGGAGCAGCGGGCGGCAGGAGAGGTCTGCGCGCCATGTGGGACCCTCCTTCGGTGGCCGGGGAGCAGCCGGGGATCGAACCGGCGCCGCAGAGGCCGCGGGCAGCTTCGCAACCCAGCGCTCAACCGCTGCGCCACCTGGGAGGCCCTGTACCACATCTTCTTGATCCAGTCATCTATTTTTGGGCATTTGGGTTGTTTCCATAACTTAGCTATTGTAAATAGTGCTGCTATAAACATAGGGGTGCAAGTGCCCTTTTGAATTAATGTTTCTGTGTCCTTGGAGTAAATACCTAGGAGTGGAATTGCTGGATTATATGGAAGCTCCATCTTTAGCAGATTGAGGAATCTCCACACAGCTCTCCATAGTGGTTGGACCAGTTTGCACTCCCACCAGCAGTGCAGGAGAGTTCCTTTTTCTCCACATCCTTGCCAACATTTGCTGTTTCTAGTTTTTTTTAATATGTGCCATTCTCACTAGTGTAAGATGGTATCTCATGGTAGTTTTGATTTGCATTTCCCTGATTACAAGTGATGTTGACCATTTTTTCATATGCCTGTTGGCCATTCGCATTTCCTCCTTGGAGAAGTTTCTTTTTAGCTCTTCTGCCCCGTTTTTGACTGGGCTGTTTATTTTGTTTTTGTTGAGTCTCGTCAGCTCTTTGTAGATTTTTGTGATCAGTCCTTTATCATTAGTGTTGTATACAAAAATTTTCTCTTGTATGCATAAATAAATAAATCTTAAAAAAAATAAAAATTGGAACAAAGCATACATTTTTAAAAATTATTTTTATTGAGTAACATTGGTTTACACCATATGTTTTAGGGGTGTAGCTTCACAATTTTTCAATTGTATGTTATACCATGCACACCACCAAAGCACCTGTACTCCTCCAGTGTAGCCCACTGGGTCCCCTTCCCTTTTTGCTCTTCATCTCCACCCTTCTCTTCTGGTAGCCTTAGTCAGATTTCAAGGATTTGGTTTTGTTTGGTTTTATCTGTTCCTTTGCTTTTTTTTTTTTATATTCCACATGAGTGAAATGATCTGGTATTTGTTTTTCTCCTGAATTATTTCACTTAGCATAATTCCCTTCAGTTCCATCCAATTTCATCTCTTTTTTTTTTTAAGATTTATTTATTTATTTATTTATACAAGAACCGGGGTACAGGCCAGATGTTCGGGAGGGTGAAAGGATTTTCCAGACAGAGCAGGGAACAGAACAGGCAGACTGACGAAATACACTGCTAAAGGGAGCAGCGGGCGCGACAGGAGATGTCTGCCTCGCCATGTGGGACCCTCGCCAGCTGGCCGGGATTGAACCGGCACTGCAGAGGCTGTGGACAGCTTCACAGCGCTGCGCTCAACTGACTGCGCCACTGGCGGAGGCCCAATTTCATCTTTTTTACAGCTGAGTAGTATTCCATTACGTTTATACCACATCTTCACTCATCTGTTGGGTTATTTCTATAGCTTGGTTATTGTAAATAGTGCTTCAGTGAATAGGAGCACATAAATATCTCTTCAGATTAGTGTTTTTTGTATTCTTCAGGTAAATCCCTGACGATCTGGATCATGTGATAGGTCTATTTTTAATATTTTGAGAGACCTCCATACTGTTTTCCGTAGAGACTGGAGTGGTCTATAGTCCTACCAAAAATTCTGGAGTAGTCTACATTCTCACCAATAATTTAGAAGAGTTCCCAGACTTGTGTTTTATCTTGCAGAAACACTAAGAGTTTGTTCTGTAACCCGAGCTTTCTCTCAGTAACTATTGTTTTAAAATTGACATTTTAACATTAATGCATTAGCAGATATTTATAATTCTTTATTATCACATCATAAAGATAATGATCTCTAATGCTTTAACATTTACATTCTCATGATTTTTATTATAACACTGAACATGTTTAGTTGTTTTTTTTTTTTAAAGATTTATTTATTTATGCATTCAAGAGCTAGGGTACAGGCCAGAGATGTGGAGGTGAGAGGATTCATCAGAGAAAGAGTGGGAAACAGAACAGGCAGATCCACTGAAATACACTGCTGAGGGGAGCAGCGGGTGAGTCAGGAGAGGTCTGCTGCACCACATGGGTTGCTCCCTGGCCGGCTGGGGATCGAACTCGTGCTGCAGAGGGTGCGGATTGCTTCATAGTGTGGTGCTTAACCCCTTGCGCCGCCACCAGGGAGGCCCTAAACATGTTTAGTTTTACTGATTTTTTTATATGAAGAATTTGTTGGTGACAGAAGCAATGTGTTGGTTTACTTTCTGGTGCCCCTTTTTAATCTGAGGAAATAACTTGTTTTCTTTAAACTATTAGCCATTCAGAGCTATTGTATTTGTGGACTATAAAAATGAGAACAAGAATTCTTCCTTCATATAGCCTTAGCATTCAGATAGCATATTAGCAATATCTGTGCTCTTGTTTAGGTGCAATAATAATTACTTTGCAAGCATTTTTTTGTAAATTGGTCTTCCATAGCATTAGTTTCTAAATGTGGCAAGCTGTGCTATCATTGAAAAGTGCAAGTCTACCTGGTACTTCCAAGCAACTATCGTTGATGTAATCATTTCCTTGCTTCCTAACTATTGTATTTAGTGTTTTTATCTTAAAAAGCCTGTAAAATAAACACTTCTGGATGAAGTTCTGAATATCTACTTCTGTTTGCTTTTTAAATCCAGTGTGCTTTTCTGTCAAATAATTCTTTTGGTTCTGAACTTATTTCAATATACTTTTTAAAATATTCCTTAGATTTTGATGGCTTTGTTGCTCCATTAATTAATATATCTCTGTAATTAACACACTGTAGTACTAGCACTTTACTATCAATTATGGCTACAAAATTGAACTCAGTCTTATGAGGAATCCTATTCCTAAGTGAAAGTAGGCCTCTTGATCTTCATCTCTTCATAATCACTTCCTTTACACTCATTTGGTTTATTGATTGCTATTGGTGCATTCAGAGGTGTGTGTTTTCCACTAAAAAGCTGCTGAAAAATCCACTGAAGCTTTTTTGTCCATATGTAAATTAGGTTAAAAATAATGTTTCGGGGCCTCCCTGGTGGCACAGGGGTTAAAGTCTCAGTGCTATCAAGCTATCACCAGCCACTGCAGCACTTAGATCCCCAGCTAGGGAACTAACCCACATGGTGCAGCAGACTTCTCCTCTCTCACCTGCTGCTCCCTTCAGCAGTGTGTTTCAGTAGATCTACCTGTTCTGCTCCCCATTCTGTCTCTGGTGAATCCTCTCATGTCCCCGCACCTCTGGACTATATCCCAGCTCTTATATGCATAAATAAATAAATCTTTGGGCCTCCCTGGTGCTCAAGGGGTTAAGATGCAACCTATGAATCTGTCCACTGCCACTGCAGCATGAGTTTGATCCCCAGCCAGGGAGAAACCTACATGGTGCAGCAGACCTCTCCTGTCTCACCCGCTGCTCCCCTCAGCAGTCTATTTCACTTAGTCTGCCTGTTCTGTTCCCCGCTCTGTCTCTGGTGAATTCTCTCACCACCCCCCACATTCACACACCTTTGGCCTGTACCCCAGTTCTTGTATGAATAAATAAAAATAAATAAATCTTTAAAAAATAACATTTCACTTCTCTAATATGGCTAGTAATATTAATTTGTGTTTTAAAACATGATTAAAATGTTTGTAAAATTAACTAGTTCTGAAAATGAATAAACCTGTGCATTTCCTCAGATTTTTATACACCTTTAGGTAGTTGACAAAATAACTTTAAGATATCACATGTAACTTGATTCTCCTATGCCTGATTCACATACATCATGCCATATATGACTTACCACATGAGTTTTGCAACACGTGGTTCTGTCAATATTCTGTTCAACAAGAAAAAACACTAATCATGAATTTAGATGTTCCGGCAATATTAAACTTTTTAAAAAATTTCTAAGTGTTTAAGTTTCTAAACTGATCTCATCATGGATTCATAACAAATAGATCATAAACCACCATTGGCTTATGATTCATGCTTTGAATAGCAACAGACTAGATGATTGTATGAATCCCAATAAAGTTGTAGATCTTATGTACACTAATAAGTCTATAGGAAATTGTCAATTTCATTGAAGGATTTATTTGATACCTATTATATGATACCATAGCATATTAACACTTTTTAAATTGAGATACTTAACATGTAACATTGTGTTAGCTTTTTTTTTAAGATTTATTTATTTATGCATTCAAGAACTGGGATACAGGCCAGAGGTGCGGGGCTGGTGAGAGGATTCACCAAAGACAGAGTGGGGAGCAGAACAGACAGATTGACTGAAATACAGTGCTGAGGGAAGCAGCGGGCGAGCTAGGAGAAGAGGTTCTATTGTGCCATGTGGGAATTCGCTGGCTGGGGATCGAACTCGTGCTGCAGCGGCTGCGGATTACTTCATAGGTTGCGTGTTAACCCCTTGCCCCACCAGGGAGGCCCTGTGTTAGCTTTAGATTACTCATATTGATCTGTAATTCCATAATAAGCATTTGTCTTATTAGAAACAACAAGAAATGTTATACTTAGTCGTTAAATTTTTAAAAATTTGACCACTCATGAAACAATTTGCAGGCATATACTGCTTTCATGAAATTCCAGGGCTTTTAAAGTAGACCTGAGCCTTTAGATTGTGTTTGAGGTTTGAATTTACAGATCCAATTTGTAAGTGATGGTGGAGTTTTATTGTTTCTTCTCCAAGAAGCCTTCAAGAAGTCACAGGTTTTATTTGTGAAGTCACAAGTTCTCTATGTGATCTTTCCAGGATCCAGAGTAGTTACAGCTGATACTTCTCAGTGCACGTATATATTCCATGGTTCTGAACTAGCTCCATGGGGTCTCTTCTGATTTATATAATGGATCAGTGAGAATTACCCAACATTTTATTAGAAAATTCCAAATGTGGGCCTCCCTGGTTGCGCAGCGGTTGAGCGCTGGGTTGCGAAGCTTCCCGCAGCCTCTGCGGCACCAGTTCGATCCCCGACTGCTCCCCGGCCACCGGAGGAG